ATACACGTCAAACATTATCACGATATATTCTTAACTCGAAATCACGACCCGCATTTTTCCAAATAACCACGTTTAATTAGTGTTATGCAAAATATTGCTTGCCTCTCCAAGTGCAACAAATAACACATATAATCTCTCCGCAAATACACCAAATAATTTCACGAACGAATCAAATATCTCCTCGAATAAATCAAATAATATCTCAAGCAAATCAAATAATTCTCCTCGAACAAGTCGAATAATTCCACGAATAAATCACCATAATATCTCGAGCAAATCAAATAACTCTCCTCGAACAAGTCGAATAATTCCACGAATAAATCACCATAATATCTCGAGCAAATCAAATAATTATCCTCGAACAAGTCGAATAATAACATGAATAAATCACATAATACTCCTCAATAAATCCAAATATATTCCACCATAAATCACATTAGCTTCACGTATATAGCAAATATTCTCCGCGAAATAAATCCACCAATACTCCACAAGTAAATCAAATAAGCTCCACAAATATTGCAATTATTTTGCAATTTTCACCAATTTCAAAATCCCCTGGACGATAATTTTAATGAACGTCATACCTTCACCATGATAAAGTTACTTTAATTTACCTCCCGAAATGGTATTGAGCTCGAACCAGGGCTGTTGGACAATTCTGGGCCGCATGGGAGGAGTTTGGACACAAAATAGACCATGTATACTCTACTGGGCCGCTTTCAGGTGCTAATGGGCCGCTTTCTACTCCTCTTGGGCCGGGAAGAAGGGCAGCAGGACACTTGGGCCGCTCGCGGGCTTAATCTGGGCCGCAGACGGGCTGGGGCACGGGCAACTGACGGGCTTGGCGCGGGTTGATGTCGGGCTCTCGCGGGCCGAGAGGTGAGGGAGACGCGGGCTGGTAGGCGGGTCAGGCGCGGGTCAGGAGCAGGTTGCAAGCTGTGCCTGAGACGGGCTGGAAGCAGGCCGCGTGGGTTGGGCGCGGCCCGCGCGCTGGGGATGCTGGGTCTTGCCTTGGGCCATTTCTGTTGGGCTATTCCTGGGCCGCGTACATGGGCCTCGCTGAGAATTTTCTGGGCCTCTTGCAAACAGGCTGGATCAAGGATGATGGACCTGGACTTCGGGCCACCTGCTCCGTGCGCAAAGGACCCAAATCACGCCATGGCTGAGCAGCTGCGAGGGTGACCTGCCGGAAAAAATGGCGGTCAGAAAATGATCTCCGGCTCCGGCGAAGATGACCAGACGATGGTGCGCCTCGGCAAGGGGATTTCAATGGTATCCTCGGTTTGAAGTGGTTCGCCGTAAATCGCCGGAAAATAGAGGAAGATGACCAGATTTTGACCAAATCCTTTCTAGATCTAGTAACTTTGACCGTAAAATTGACGGCCTTTTCGTAGGAATTTTTACTCGAAATTTCAAGGGTAGAACGAGCACGACGGGAGCTTTGCGATGGTGGAAGAATTTTTCAGATCGAACAACTTTGATCGGCAGCCGGCGGCAGAGGTGACGACGGCGTCGTCCAGCGAAGGTCGGCTGTTGGGGATTCGTCTCGCCGAGAGGATTCTGGTGGTACACTCGGATTCATTATAGCTCTCACGGATCGTCGGAAAAATGCATTTGAATGTCCAATTTTGACTATTTTTTTGCTAGATCTGGAAACTTTGACCGCAAAATTGACGGCCTTCCCAGAGGAATTTTCGCATGAAATTTTAAGGAGAGATCCACCTCGAAGAGATCTATCCAATGACGTAAAGAATTTTCCAATCGGAGCACGTTTTCCGGCGGCCGGCGGTGAGGGTGGCGGCGGCCAGTGGAGAAGAAGGAGCTTGCTAGAAGATTTCTCGAATTTTTCGGTCGGAACTCCGTTTGGCTTTTTTAACGGGTCCCACAGACGGCGCCAATGAAGTGAATAAGATTTCACCCGGGCTCCTTCAACTCGAACGGCCACCGAACCTGCAAGAACCCAACGCCGGGAGGGGTCCCGGCGTCGGGCCTCCGACGCTCAAGTCAGTATCACTCCCAATCCCAAGTGTATAGTAATGAATGTAGAGAGAGTGAGAGAATGAGATACCTTAGCCCCCTTTTATAGGGGAAGTGTACCTTATGGCCCAAGTTGGGCTTGTCCCATAGCATCATGCCACGTGTCTTAGCCATGTGTAGGCTTATTCTGCAATATATTTCCTTTTTAGCCATTAAGACTGGTCTAGTATATAATATCCTATATCACCCTAAAATAAATACAGCTCGTGCATCGCACGGGTTACATACTAGTTACTATCAATATGAGTTTCATTATCTTCAAAATATGCTTATTTTAGGATTATTACATATCTGTTTTTTAGTTCGGGTATTATAAAAATTTCCAATTGCCCGATTATTACATTCGGATAATTAATCTGATTCAAGTTCTTATTAGAAATATTTAAATTTGATTAGCATAATGCTTTAAGAACTCATTTATATTTTAAACAACCCTGTATTTAGGAGTTTGAATATATTGAAATTATGTTGCGCGGGGAATAAATGACAATGTTGGGCATTTAAAAAAAGTTGATTGTAACCGTCTTTGTAAGTTTATCATTAAGTTTATCATTGTGTGAATTTGAATGATAATTATGTTTAGAATTAGTTTTAATTATGATTATGAACAAATGATCCAAAAAAAAAATCATTCAGATTTTCAAACGTGAAATTGGCAAAAAAAAATCGGCTAAGTAATCTGATTGTTTAAATTAACTAAAACTGTATTTTTTTTATATGCAAGACAATCATAATTTAACTGTAGTTTTTAAAAGAATAAAAAGCATACATATCCGATATACACAAATTTAGGGCCGATTTTGTTTTCTAAACTGACCGAAATATGGCCGATTTTCTTTCCAAATAGGCCGAATTCACCAGGTCAAATTTTAGAATTTCTGGCAAAAAAGAATACTCAATATACACAAGCGAGAATTTTTCAAATTTTGGTAAAAAAGATTACTCAATATAGTAAATATTTAGGGGGGAAACCAAATGTCTCTTTTTACTGATTTTTTAATTGCTATTTCAAGTAAATATCATTGCCTCTTTATATATTAATAGATAAACACACATTTTACACTTCCATCGTAACTCTAGTAATTAATAAACATAATGATCCAAATATTATTTTAGGAGGATCACCCGTTTACACAATTGAACAAAAATAAATACTTATACTATCAAGTGTATAATATTTTTCATTATATATATATATATATACTAGGTCTACTTTTAATTGCATTGTGAAATACTTTTTAATAGACTAGGTCTATTTTCTACATGGCATGTAATTTTTTTTAAAGAGACCCAAAGCATTGTGGGTGCTCTTAGATTTCGTTTTCTTAAATTAATTTCCTTTTTTCCTTGGAGACAGATGAAGAGACAGGATGGTATGATGGCCAGGTACTTTTCTCTATATATATACTAGTTGCCTTACGGCTGTGCACGCACAGCCGGCTCAAATTCAGTCTATTATCGAGTTAAAATTTGTTGTCATTTGAAATGATCACTTGAATTTATATGTATTTATGAATTATTAAAAATCAGCCAAAGAACATAAGAAGACCGAGCACGCAAACAGGTTTTCGTGAAAGCGACCGGATTCACCTCACTTGAATCTCCCATGAAATCAATGGGGTTGTCAGAAGAGGACTGACTTGCTGTTCATTTTATGACCCTTTAACGCTTTAGTTATGCATGCAACTTAGTTTGACATGGACTTGGTTGAAAACTTTTCTTCTTAATCCCTATATATGCAGTGTTATTAAATTTCCGACATGGCGGGTTTCTATCTAAGTGCCAATTAAAATTTGTGAAGAGTTGCGTTACGGCAGAGCCATACGCCGCCATGGCGGGCGGCAATGACAACTGTTATGGTGGGATTTCAGTCTGCCGCTATTTTTCGCCATCCGCCATAGATAACACTTATTCTATGAGGAACATATGTTTCACCAGATACCATTACTAAATAAAAAGCACCATATACTTTCCTTAGAATTGTTAGTTTGTTGTAAAAGAAAGATGTGTATAATATACATGGTAATCATCGCAAAATGTCCAACATGTTTCTACAACATAGATCAGGACTTTTGTATACTATATAATAAACAAAGATTAGATTACATACATAACAATAAACTTCCCTCAAATACTTGTATAGCAGCAAGAATGAAAAAATATTGCCTGGCAAAGAGTAAGCCACCCTTTAAAAAAATGTCTATAACTCTCAAATTCAAAGTAAAAACAAATCTATACACTCCGATAAACATAGCTCCAAGGTAACATAAGATAGGACTGGATTACAGTATTAACAATAAGAAGAGCAGTACAAACTGAAGCATTAATCCGGGAGGCTTTAGACTTACCAATACAAACGCGGAGCATCTGTTAAAAGAGCTTCGCCACCTGAGACCACCCAGTAGAAGCCAACAATCCACCATACAAATGAGATATTTGTCTTTGCAGATTCGCATCATTTCACCCTGCTGAAAAACCATCGATATTAGCCAGAAAGACAAATTGAGGATTTCCAAACCTCTGTCGAATTTGAAATATAACTAAAATTTTCAGCATCTGGAAACTAATAGTTAAGAAGCAAAAGTTCCCAGACAAGCCTATCCCCCAGAATATTAAATGAAAAGATGAAACACATAATTTTCTGATATCTAGGTTCCTTGTCAAAATAATAGACAAAAATCGTCATGTTTTTCCTGATAAAAAAAATACATATATACTTAGTACATATAATATTTATAACATCATTTAAAACATGGATCAATTTATAACATCATATATAAACAAGCCTATGCTTGTTTAATAGCAGTTTATTAAGCGAGGACGAACTGGAACACGGAGTGCTCGGCTCGGCTAGGATCGAATAACACATATAATCCCGAACCATTATTCAGTCAGTAGACCAAAAAAATTGAGAATCATCACTGAAAAGTTTAAAAAATAAATAAGTGAGAATTGATCACCTGCATGTAGTTACAAAATAGTGAAGAAAAACTGATATTGTGACAATTCCAAGTTGGGTGTATTCTCGCGAAACCTACTTCACTCCCACCAACCTCTGATTGCATTAGCCTGCTGATTGATCCCGACAGTTCTTTCCCAGGGCAAAGCCTAGTTCCTCCTCCCAACAGAAAGCACTAATTATGTGATTCCAAGTTCTTATCCTGCAAAATTTACAAATTAACACTGAAAACCAATTGAATTGTTTGATTTGATAATAAATATGCATTGAATTAACTAACCAGCCAATCTCCAGGGATTGAATTTAAGGGGCTCTTGATAGAGAATTGGGTCATAATTGACCTCTCTTGTGTAGACATATATTCTCCAGCCTTTTGGAACAAGAAATCCTGGTTCAAGAAAATTTTAAATAATATAATATAGAAAATTAAACCCAAAATTAACGGGGTTAACTAAAATGGACCTTTTACACAAAGACCATTGAAAATTTAATTTGTGACAAAATGAAAAATTAAACACAAAAATTGGTGTTAAAAAGAACCTGTTACACAAAACACTATTGAAAAATGCATGATTTTTTTTTATTTTTTTTGTACCATTCAATTTCATCTCTCTTGTTATCATCCTCAGTACCACATTGACCACATTGGCCAACCTCATTGTCTCAAAGACAACCTGTGCAAAACAAACACATAAATTAAAATATAAATTATATTATATAGTTATTTTTCAGAAAAATCAATATGTATCAAATGTGCATTGGCAACCGGCTTACAGCACGCGTAAACCTCATCGACTTGTAATCGTCCCAATCCAGTGGCTGCTCTGAATTTTTCCCTTGCCGGATCGAAATATGTTCGTCCTGATGAAAAACATAAATTAGATGTTTAATTCTTGAAATATTTCAAAAAGGAAAAAAAAAACAAAAAGTTTAAAATAAAAAATAGAATGTATTTTTCTTAATCTTATCCCTTAGTTCTTGCAGAGCTTCTTGATAATAATGCATATACTTGACAGCCATCATCAAAATTGTGGATATAGTTTCGCAACCCGAGTACAATAACGTGATTGTTTGATCAATAATTTATGCATTGTTTCATGCTCTTTTCGCGTCCATTGCGTTGCATAAATACAATCTAATAACAAACACTCAAGAATACAAAATACATTAGTTGCATAAATGGACAACAATCTTATAACAAACATAGTTTTCACAAATAAATTAAATGAACGAATCCCCAAATGTACATCTCTATATATAAGTTGATCATATGAAACGTTTTGCCTTACCTTAAATCCTCGATAGTAATTCGTGCCAGGTAGGTAAATAGGCAGAGAAAGTGACCCTAAGCAATTTAACAAACTCACTCTTAAAACTCTTAAACCTCTTGTACAATTCCTCTGATTCAGCTTCTNAAGATGAAAATGCGAGAGTGTTGTGTGATTAATGTTGGAGAGGGATTGCGTGTGCGATATTTCTGAAAGAAAACAGATCTCCGTCTTTGTCACGTCGCACCAGATTTTGGGGAGCAAATCCCGCGAGCACAACTGCAGAAACAAAAGAGCCACGCAAAATTGCATATACGACCCTCAAAAAGCTTAATACACAAGGACAAAACAGTCAAAACAACAAATGACATCAATTTACCTTATTGACCTTCACAATTAGTGTGAAGTGAAGATATTGTGTTGGTTGAGAAAAGGGCATTCAAGTAATTGACCCAAAAAATGTCAAATGTCAAGCCAAGAAGCTGCCACTTGTCGCCATTTAAAGGTATATAACTTCTTCATATATATATATAGTAGAGATAGATATATATATATATATATATATATATATATTTATATGAAGTGGTTCAAATGAGAACCAAGTCCTAGCGTGAGAACCGTTATTTTTAATTGTATGTAGTGCTACGATTGATTGTATTTTAGTGCTATTTTTAACATGGATGTATTTTATCAAAAATAGCAACACAATTTATATTAATATATGTGAAAATGATAGTACAATGTAATATTAAAAATATCATTATACACAACTAAAAATAGCAACAAATATGGCTCTCACGGTTCTCACACCAAAACTAATTTTTATTTGAACCAACCCCTATATATATATATAATAATAATAATTCTTAATGATAATTACATATTTATAAAACTAATACGGTCTAACGTATATTATGATCCAAACCAAATAAAACTATAGTGTTATAATTCTTATTCACCAAACAGTAAGGATATATGAGTCTTACTTGACCCTAACATTTTCAATTATCAAACATCATTAACACAATTAAGTAGTTAACATAAATGCAAAATTTTAAGCTTATCAAAACATTTAAAATATATAACCTAACAATGACTGCTAAATTTTCGCATTGTTTACTTTACATCGTTGAAAAATGAGGCCATGAAACGAATCAAATCTAAATTCATGAAATTAATAATTCCTGAGCATTTATATGGTCTCTAAGAGAAACGCCAACAGCTCCTACAACAAGCAAATATGGATGGAAATGACATTGCACCACTTTCAAAATCCACGTCCGACTTTCCCGACGTGACAAGAAACCGCGAGCCGAGGCGAGCGACCAACGAGAGCCACCGCCATGAACAACCGCACCCCGACAGGCAGCCATCGCATCCTGCGAGCACCGCACGCCGCCGCGATCTGATCAGGAGCCTTCGTCCGTGACCTGTCCGCGATCGTTGAGCGAGAGAGCCCCTATTCGTGTTCGTTCAGCCACCGAGGCCGCACGCGAGCAGCCAAGGATCTACGCGTGCACGGCGCAACTGGGGCCTCTAAATTTCAGATCTGATCCCTCTTGTGCATGTAGATTCCCAAAGATAAGTGAATCTCGGAAATCTTCTTTTTACTTCGTTCATTAAGATCCTTTTTATAGTGAAAGTTTTGTATCTCTAAGTTTGAGTAAAGCTTGTGAAAATTGTGGGCTTGGAACTCCTGAAATTTACCTAGACTTGTGTGAGACCCTTGAATTTTTGGTGTGAGTGTTGCTAATTAAACACTATGCCGTTACGCTTTATAATTGCATGATTTCATAGTTGATGTATGTGTATGAATATATGTTGTGTGATAAATTTGACTATGTGGTGCATATGATTGTGTGGCGCTTTCAGTGTGAGCTCATGTTGTTGAGTGCTTGTGTGATGGCGAGCCGACAATAAAGGTGTGTACACATGAAACGACTGATGAATGGAGACACTAAGACAGTTGAGACATATGATTCTTCTTATACATGCTGAAAGTTATGCTATATGTTATTATATTACATAATTGCATAGTTTTCCCACGGTGAGCTTGTTGTTTGCTCACCTTCATACATTAATATTTTTCAAATTAAGTAGCTGGCGGCGTCACGAGGAGACGATGGTAGTCGAAGTATTTATTTAACTATTCTATTGCTTCCGCAACAAAGTTTTCGACTTTGTGTTATTTGGAGATTAATATTGAATCTACGGCTGTGTGGTGAGATTTTCAACTGTGTGTTTCAAGACTTTGTGAATGAGTTTATTTTGACTCAAGTTGTAGAAAGAAAGAGTTTTTGAGTAATGCCTGAAAGAATTTAATTTCAAAAATATTTTAAAAATTCAATTTATTTCGGAAAACTGAGTGTTTTCTAAAGGAATAATAAGTGGGCGTCACACATTAAATAATGGTGTACTGTGGTAAAAAAAAGTTTGTTTGAGCCATATTAATCATTATTTACTAGTTTTTTTATTTTTTAATTTTTGCTTGTACAACCTTTTAGTCATTTTTCTTCCGTCTCAAATTTGAATTTTCACATCAAAGTTTATATTATAAATTAAATAATAGTGTACAGTGGGGAAAAAATATTGTTTGAGCCTTTTTAACCATTATTTATGAGTCTTTCTGTTTTTAAATTTTGCATGTACATTACTACACGCCATTTCAGTCATTTTTCTTCCATTTCCATATACATTAAATATTGGTGTATTTTTTCAAAGAAAAATTGTTTGAGACTTTATAACAAATATTATTATTTTTTTTTTCTTTTGTATATTTTAGTGTACAGTTGTGCACGCTCTTTCAGCCGTTTTTCTTCTGTCTTAAAATTGAATTTTCACCATCTAAGTTTGTATTATACATAAAATAACGGTGTATTGTTGCAAGATATTAGCCTTTTTAACCATTATATTTACGAGTTTTTTTTTTGTTTTTGAATTTGCACGTACTAGTGTACTCCCAATTAAGTCGTTTTTCTTCGATCTCTGAGTTTTTACTATCAAAGTTTATAATATATATATATTAAATAATGGTGTACTGTTACAAAAAAAAAAATTGTTTTGGTCTTTTTAACATTTATTTACGAGTACATGTACAGATCATCCAAGACCAAAGCCCAACATCGACCCAGCCTGTCTAAGGCCGCCTAAGTCCAGCCCATAGTCGAATTGCTGAGTAGAAGGCCTGAGCTCACCGACCCAGACCGTCCAAGGCCGCCGCCCATAGTCCAATTGCTGAGTACAAGGCCTAAGTCGAGTCGGCAGGCGCACGTGTGTGTGGCTAAAGCCATCACCAATATATGGTGCATATCTTTGTTATTGTTGTGAGTTATCCAAAAAGAATCTTAAGTCAAATCTCATAACCAATATTTTACGTATCAATTAATGACTATCTTTATTAATTTATTTCTCACTCACTGAAAATCAATTTTGAGAAAATACATATACCACGAGTATCTTAAAATCTTCTATATAATTTAACTCAACCTAAATTAAATATTTAAGCATAAAAAAATCTTTCAAAATCGAACACACTTGCACCTCTCTAGCTCAACCCTAATCTCATCTCCAAATCATGAAAAATTTATGTATTTCAAGAAGAGATTGGTAAGCTATGAGTCCGGAGCTGGAGGTTATTTTATTTAAAATGAAAATAACCAAAACAGCTGAATTAGATGATTACAACAAAATTATTTACATGTGATCGAGGAGGATAACGATTGCCATGGCGAGCGAGGGGTCAAAATCAGGGAATAGAAGCAATTGGAAAACATCGGCACCAAAAGCGAGGCCTTTGACACAAGTTTCCTTGGGTTTCAGCTCTGCCACTCGCCTCCTCCGCTTCTCATCATACACACAGCAACAGCAGCGATTCGCCTCAATCACATAATTATTATGATTATTATTATCATTGCTGATGACATGAGCCGCCCATTTCCTGCTGCTGTTGATACTTTTCCTCTTCATCACCGTAAACCTCGGATTATCAGTGGTCTCGCCGTCGTACAAAAACCAGTTGCTGCTGTCCAGCTTCTGTACATTCGGCAATTTTAATGAAACTTATCAAAACAAACATAATACATATTAATTAGCAGAATTGATTGATAATGATACCTTGCGTTGGCGACGGATGGTGAGAATAGAGTTTCCCAAGGCATCCATAAGGGAGATCTCATTGAAATTAGATACCCTAACTCTGCGAGGGCCGTTGATGTAATTGTCGACCCGATAGACAAGGTTCCCATTGGCATCAAACACGGTGAATCCCTCACAGTTGAGAACCAACGATTTCTTCCATACTGTCAGGACTACCATTGGATCATCATCGCTGCAACTGGAAGAAGAAGAAGAAGAAGAAGAGGAAGGGCACCAGCTGAATCCATTCCCGTTGGGGTATATCTTCTTCATTAATTCCCACTTCATTCCAATTTTCACAAAGAAAAAAAAATAATTATTAAATACTATAGCTGATTTAAGAGTTCAGCTTCATTGGCCATTGCCCTTTATATTTTATGTATTAGGTCTTTGTATAATGTGTTTATTATTTGCTCTTCTGTACGTTTTGGAGAATTAATGATTGTATATGTAATTTTTTTTTTTAATCTAAGCATTGATGTTTTATTTTATAGTTATCATGGCAAATCTGGTCAAACTCGAATTTGAAGCTCTTGATATATCTGGAAAAAATTATATTTCATGGACATTGGATGTCGAAATTCGTTTGGCTGCAAGGGGGTTGGGAGACACAATAGTCTCCACAAATAATTCATCAATACAAGATAAAGCTAAAGCAATGATATTTCTGAGACATCATTTGAATGAGACATTGAAAAATGAATATTTAACTGTGAAAGATCCTACAGATCTCTGGAAAGCCTTGAAAAAAAGGCATGATCACCAAAAAATGGTGATTCTCCCCCGGGTTGGTTATGAATGGATGCACTTACGTTTCCAAGATTTCAAAACTGTAAACGAGTACAATTCAGCAATGTTCCGCATTTGATCGGTATTGAAATTATGCGGAGAAAACATAACTGGTTACGATATGCTAGAAAAAACGTTGTCAACATTCTACGCTTCAAATGTACTTTTGCAGCAACAATACAGAGCAAAAGGCTTTGTGAAATATTCTGAGTTGATTTCTTGCTTGTTGCTAGCTGAACAAAATAATGAGCTGTTGATGAAAAACCATGAATATAGACCTACGGGGTCTACAGCGATACCTGAAATAAATACTGTAATATCTAGACAGGGAACTGAAAATAAAAACAGCCAAACTCATGTGCGTGGATATACCTCAAGGCGTGGCCGTGGTCGTGGAAGTGGCCGTGGATATGGTCCGGATCGCCAAACCGGCCGAGGCCACAAATTTCACCGAGGTATAACTCGGGCGAGGATACAATCGTGGACGAGGCCGCAACTATGTCCAAAATTATGAAAGGGGGAGAAATTTCCAGCCAAAATTTGAACAGAACAATGTGACGGAGAATAATAATGAAAATGCATGTTATCGATGTGGAAGGAAGGGACATTGGGCACGAAATTGTCGTGCTCCGAGACATGTTATTGATAATTATAACGATTCCCAGAAATCAAAAGATAAGAATATATGTTGGTAATATTTTTGGGCAAGTAATAACCGAGTTACCCGACTCGGGTCGTTCTCTAAGGAAGGTTAGCCGGATTAAATTGTATGTTTATTCAATTCACAAAAGAGAAAATATTCCTAAACATTCTAATTCAATTTAATAATGGGGTTTTAAACTAAATTAAAAGTAACATAAATGCTATCATTTTACTCGGAAAACCTTTCAAATGATAAAGTCGTTTTACTAGTAAATACTTTCTAACGATAAAATCGTTTTACTCGTAAATACTTTCAAACTAAAATTTGTTCTACTAGTAAAAACTTTCAAACAAATAAATTGTTCTACTAGTTAAATACTTTCAAACTATAAGTTGTTCTACTAGTAAAAACTTTCAAACAAATAAATTGTTCTACTAGTTAAATACTTTCAAACTATAAAGTTTTAAGGAAGAAAAGAAAATAACTAAAATGACAAAGATAAATTTTAATAAATGTAAAAGTCTAGGGTATTGGGGATAATCAATTCCAGTTTTATTAACATTTATCGGTAATTAAATTACTCAGTTAAACGATTCACTTAATTTACTCATCTAGAGGTTTATCCGTACTAACTCTCGTAATATACGAATAAACTTAAATAAATGAATTAGTGGAACGGTTAACACATAAACAATACGTTTCCGAACATGTCTATTCTAAACAAATCAAGTTCTATCAACTTCGCCCCTTTCGGTTATGAAATCGATTATGTAGATTAAAATGGTGATCAAACATTTAACCATAATATTAATAAAATTTGTAAAGATTGAGCAATAAAAATACTTATAAACGATAATAAACCGAAACGATTATCCCCTAACCCTAGTTAGGAAATTAGTTACTCATAGTAATTTTAACATACAAATTCTTATGTAAATAAACCATTATAAACATAAAATAAAAAGAAAACTTACTAGTAATCCACAAGCTAGAGCAAGTGCAAACTTAATGTCCAAACTTCAACAATCTTCAACAATTTAATCTTACAAATTCAAACTACAAATGTAGTAAAAATAGAAATGTGGAAAGATAAAATAATATGGAAAAATTCCCTTTTCTTTTTCCTCCCCTTTTGTTTTATGATAATGTTGCTATTTATAGATATAAATAACATACTAACATCAACCAAAGTTCAACAATAATTCAACCACCAAGAAAAATGCAAGAAAAGGTGAAAGAAGATAGGAAAAATGAGAGAAAGGTTGGAATTTTCGGACAAAATCCGAGAATGAATTTTTCCGCGCGCATTCGCGCACTTCTCGGGCAGCTCTGCTTCTCGGGCTCGTTTTGGGCTCGTCCGAACTCGGAATTGAGTTCCGTTTTTTTCTACGCGTTACTAACGAACTCCTCTATTTAATGATGTATGCCAATACAAATTTTACCCAGAATACAATTATCTAAGGATTTTTAACTTCCAAGGTGTCGGCAACTCGCTCGATTTTACTCTTCGGTTCCGTACGAACTCATCCGAACTCGAAATCGAGTTCCGCTTTTTCCTGTGTGTAGCTAACAAGCTCCTCTTTCCATTAATGTGATCATGCTCAATAACTTTCCAAAATCCTGCTCTTCCGAGATTTTCGACCGTTCCTTTATTTTACAAATACTCGAAAAATACAAGAAAAATATACAAAATTCCACACAAATACTTAAATATTACAAATTACTAAATAAAACTAAAAACTACCCAAAATCCCACAAACTTACTAAAAATACATAAAAATAATAATAAAAAACATTAATAAAAACATAACAAAAATAACACTAACAATATAGAAAACAATTTTATGGTTGGGGAATCCTCTGAAAATGATGCAACACGTGTGGATGATGATTATGGCATCGATGACATATTGAAACTGGATTTTGCCGATGCAGTATTTGAAGACAGAGATGGAAATGACCAAGATAATAACTGATGATCATGTTTTTTTTTTATTGCTTTCTAAGTTTTGTTGTATTTGTGTGTGGACTCCTTTTATTTGTATTTCGAATTTAATCAATAATAAATGTTGTTTTCTTTTAGATAATGGATAGGTCTCGAATCCAAAATGGAGATATATGTATTGCAGATTGTGCCACTACTCATACTATACTCAAGGACAGAAAATATTTCGTCAACTTGATATTAAATAAAGCAAAAGTAAACACTATATCCGGAAGCGCAAAGATAATTGAGGGTTCTGGCAAGGCCATATTTTTTATGATGGGAGGTACCAAATTTACAGTAAATGATGCATTATTCTCCCCAAAATCAACAAGAAACTTGTTGAGTTTTAAAGATATCCGAATGAACGGATACCATGTGGAAACAATGAATAAAGGGGGAGTTGAATATCTTTGCATTAACTCAAACAATGCGGGAAATAAATGTGTTTTGGAGAGGTTACCCGCTCTATCCTTGGGTTTATATTACACCCAGATTAATATGATCGAGGCTTATGCTGCAACAAATTGAAAGACGAATATGTTTAAACTTTGGCATGATCGACTTGGTCATCCTGGCTCGATAATGATGCGAAGAATTATTGAAAATTCTAGTGGGCATCCATTAAAAAATCAGAGGATATTGCCAACACATGAATTGAAATGTGTCTCATGCTCTCAAGGGAAATTGATAATGAGACCATCACATACTAAAGTCGGACATGAATCATCATTATTTTTGGAAAGGATTCATGGTGATATATGTGGACCTATTCATCCACCTTGTGGTCCATTCAGATATTTTATGGTGTTAATTGATGCCTCTAGTAGGTGGTCTCACGTGAGTTTGTTATCCACTAGAAATGTGGCATTTGCTAAATTTCTTGCCCAACTTATTAGATTAAGGGCTCAATTCCCAGATTATATTATCAAAAGAGTTAGACTTGACAATGCTGGAGAGTTTACATCTCAAGCATTTAATGATTATTGTATGGCAGTGGGAATTGATGTTGAACATCCTGTGGCACATGTTCACACTCAAAATGGTCTAGCAGAATCATTGATTAAACGACTGCAACTTATAGCTAGACCATTGATAACGAGGACAAAACTCCCCACTTCAGTATGGGGACATGCTATTCTGCATGCAAATGATGTAATTCGAATAAGACCAAATGCACACCATACATACTCGCCATTACAGTTGGCATATGGTCGAGAACCAAATATTACACATATAAGAGTTTTTGGTTGTGCAGTGTATGTACCAATTGCTCCGCCCCAACGTACAAAAATGGGGCATCAAAGAAGGTTGGGAATATATGTTGGATATGATTCTCCATCAATAATCAAATACCTTGAGCCAAAAACGGGTGATGTTTTTACAGCTCGGTTTGATGATTGTCATTTTAATGAAGAATTGTTTCCCCCCTTAGGTGGGAATGAAAAGTCAATTGAGAGAAATATTGAATGACAAACATCATCAATATCATATCTTGATCCTCCCACCAAACAAAGAGAGCAAGAAGTTCAAAAGATCATACATCTGCAAAATATTGCAAATCAATTGCCAGATGCATTTACTGATTTAAAAAGGGTGACCAAATCACATGTGACAGCCGTAAATGCCGCTGCTCGAATTGAGATCCCAAAAGAAATGGCAAATGACGATATGCCAAATGAATTAAAGACACGCTTAAAACGAGGAAGACCAGTTGGGTCTAAAGATAAGAATCCTCGAAAGAAAAGAGAATTTCATAACTCGAGTTTAAAAAAGAATCAAGATGATGGAAAAATTTCGGGACGAAATAAAAATATTGAAATGTCCATCAATTACGCAAACAATGGGAATCTTTGGAAGCGTGATGAGGCCATAAAAATTGATGATGCATTCGCATATATGGTATCACAAGAAATTGACAAAGAGGTTGAGGATCCTGAACCAAAATCTATGATTGA